CCCCCCTGCAGCATATCCAGGGCCTCTAAGAAAGAGACTGTGGACTGTCCTTACACTCTGCAGGCTGCTGTTTTGATGTTCCTGTGCTACAGAGCAGGGCTGTGTGTTCTCATTTAACAATTCTCTCATTTTGTCTTATTCTTTTCTCTTTAATCAGTTGTTGTTTAATAAATTGTATTTGCTTTGAACCTTATGAAGTGATCACTGGGCCAAGAAGGCCTGCAGTGTAAAGAGAGCACCTTGGAGTGGGGACACCCTAACTCCTGCCCCTAGTGACTACAAGGTCAGGGATTAAGCCCCAGGAAACCTGGGCCCTGCCTTGTTGGGGTTTCAAGGGCTCTGCTACTCCTGAGAGTGGAGGGGGAGCCCTCAGGATCAGGGAGCCGTGGGGTAAAGGAAGTGGGAGCGGGGACTCAGATCCTTTCGCTGGTTCATTTCACCGGGGTGTATAGAAGCCAGGAAAGTTCCCCACAATAGCGGGATCATTCCCCCGCTTACATGTGCAAAGAAGGAGATTAAAATGCTACCATTAGTGTGAATGGAAAATTCTGATTTAACAACCCCTTTGAGTGGCTTAAAAGCTATCAAGATGCAATATGATGGTGAATCTGGCCCACAGTGGTTACTAAGGGTAAATACTATGCTGAGACTGCTTTTAGAAGAAGCATCAATACTTATAATGTTTATAGACATGTGCTTTCATTCACCCTGATATCGGTGAAGGTGAGCCCATTTAATCTCTCCTTGCTGTGATGAAGGGATTTTATATCTGGAGAGGGCATGTGGCATTGTTGTAATGCCACCAAAAGAGGACATAATGAATAGAGTTATAACGAATGGCTAAGTTTCCAGAGATGTCCCATTATATTAGGAGCGGAACTCAGCCTGGCCGGCCCCTCCCGTCTCCGGACTATGTTTGTTGGCAGAGCAGAGGGTTCTGCTATTTCAGGTATAGTGGGTCTGCAGTCTGCATTCTGACCGAGGTGTCAGCATTTACACCCCATTCTGACACACTCTCGCTTTCCATCAGAGGAAGCCCGTAGCCTGGATTCCCCAGACTATGAATCAAACACTATATTTGAAAAATATGGATTAGCATCAAAATTATTAAAAAACATTGAGGACAGACCCCGTGTAGGCCAAACCCACATGCACTGTCATTATTTTGGCCCAGTAAAAGATTTTTGTCTAAATAAACCCATCTCCCTCCTAGCCTGTGTGACCCGGAAATTATGCAGGCACAAGTGAGAAAGCAGGATTCTCTTCCAGCTATTTATGCCAATTTTCACCAAAAATAGGGTATAATAAGAAATTTAGGAGTGAAAGAGACGCTTCAATACCTTCCCTCAGACCTCTAGCTCCGTTGCCATTCTGACGGAGGGAAAATGTGTGTTGCTGCAAATTCTTTTTATCGCTCTTCTCTTGCAGTGGGGTTCCTGAAATGGAAGATAACCTCTGCCTCAGCTAAACTGAAATATGTTTAAAAGAATAATCTGTATCCAACATTAACTTAACAGTTATCACTTTGATTGAAAGAAAACCAGTGGTTTCCATTTCAAGGGCTTTTGGAGAAAGGGAGAAGCTGGCAAGGCAGTGAATGGTATGTTACAGCCAAGAAGCAGGGTGGGTGAGATGAGGGGAGCGGATTGGGTGAGGGGAGTTAGAGCTGTTTGCATTAGTAGAATCTGGCAGCAGTTATCAAAATCCCAGATGTCTCTTTGCTGATGTATGAGTAATGACACAGCTTGATGTTTATGGACAGCTTGTGCTCTCACAGAGAAGGTGTAAAGCAGGGCTGTCACTCTCTTCTACCACAAGATGTCACTAGTACTGCTTGGGTGCTGAATGCGTATTGACAACATGTCGCTGTTCATATTATTAGCAGGGTGCCTTTAATTTTTTTTCCCTTTTGTAGATGGCTGTGCAGCTTCTTTATTGATAGTGATGATGCAAGAAAAAAAAGAGGATCTCTCTTTCTCTCCCTCTCGGTCTCTCTTTTGGTCCAAGTGTGTTTAAATCACCACTGACACTTTCAAGACTGGCTATGTGTCCTAATAAGGGTAGAAAAGAGGGAAAGGCAGGGGTAACAAACCGGCCTTGGTACATGTGTCTAGATGATCACAAGGATAACAGGCCAGGCTTGCACAATCTCACATCGTGGTTAATAAACTTTATTCATGACCTTAATTCTAGTTTATTAACTTTAGAAATAACGAGTTGTGCAGTAATTGCAGTTGTTAAGGGAGCAGTGGGCATTTTTTTCCTAGAGGGTATCAAATTCTGTGTTGTTATTATATATGCACTAAATCTCCATTAAAGGGCTCTCTGTAAATGTTTCAAGGCTATGCCAGAGAGAAGGGTATTTCATCTTAGTTCCTGAGCACGATATCATCTATTTTAAACACTGTGCAGTAACACCTGCCTTATTTATCTCTCTCAAAAAATATGGTGGCTCAACAACAGCTTTTTTTTTAAAAAAAGGAAAACATAATGTACAATTTTGCGGCAGAGCAGGTATATCATTGATTAGCAGATTTAAATACTCTGTACAGGGGATTAGGTACTATCTTTCAGAAGATAGGAAAATAAAGGAAACTAGTTACAGGATGGAACCTCACTGAAGGAATCTGTTCCATGTCCCATTATTTCTCCTTTATATTATATAAATCACACTTTTCTGAACCCGGAGGGTGGTCATTCACATTCACACAAAATTCATGTTTTAAAGTCCATCTTTTAAACTGATTGCTCTGATGGTGCAGACAGCTTTTAAAAGATGGATACATGCATATCTGCATATTGTGTTTTTCCATGAGAGTACATATGAGGGTATATAATTATACAAGAGGTGTGAATGTTTTGAGAGATAAATAGCCTCAGTATTTATTTTGTACAAGAAATAAGTCAATGGTTGCTGAGGATTTTCAGCCCATTGCAGGAAATGCTCAAGCCATGGCTGGATTGGGTCATTAAGCTCTAATCCAAAGCCCATTCAAGTCAACGGAATGAGTCCCATTGACTTCAATGGTTTTGCATTGGACCTTTAGGGCTCAGATGAAGGAGATCAAAATAGCAACAGCAGCAGTATAGGAAATGTAAGGTTGTAGGATAGATGTAAGCTAGTACCAGGGATGTGTGACCCTCCAAAGGCCTTGTTTGTTTGGGATGAAGATCTGTCATATTAATTTTCAATTTTATATTACCTTGTTAATTAATACATTTTTTCCAGGAAGCAGCAAGTTGTTTTGGACTCTCAAGTCTTTTTGGGGGGGTCCAGAAACTTAAACAAAAAATTACTTTGGGCTGGATTCTGCACTCCTTATTTTTTTACAAATTGCAAAATACCTAAAATGAGGCTTTTTTCACAGCATTCCTGACTCAGCTGAAAGCAGGAAGTTCTCAAATTTGTGTTTATATTTCTATCTACCACTGTTGTTCAGGACCCTCTTCAGATAAGTATTTATATTTTCCCTTTTAATATTCACCAGTCATCAGGTGTTTTAAAATCTGATCCTGTGACCTTTCCAGACACAAATATTCTTTACCCATGCATATAGCACTGTTAAAGCCAATCAGACTACCCACCTAAGTATGAGCTAGACACATGAATGAGTACAGCAGAATCTGGCCTGGGGTTTGTAAATGAAAAACATTAGATCCAATACACAGGCCATGTGTCTGGGTTAGCTCCTAGTTTATTCATATCTCTATTGCTTAAATGAGTAATAGAGCTACCCTAGAGTAACAACCTCTCTGCTATCCCATTACTGTAGGCCTCAAGAGCTTGCATCCTAATAGAGCAGCCTGTAAGATATGGGATTAGCCTGCCAGTGCAACAGCCACAACTTGGTTTTGAGGTGTAGGATTTTCTAAATGTGTCCACTAGATAGCACAATAAACTTTCTTCTTTTCTTATTGAAAAACTTTTTTCTCCTACCCAAAGAGCCATTAGCCTTTCAGTCTCAGAGTAATGGGGCTTCAGAAAAAGATCAAAGTTTCTCAGATAAGTGTTCTTTTACACAATGTTACTGACACTCCACTTTGTATTTTTTTTTAAAAGGACATATAAACATGCCAAGTGAGATGGATAGACTGTCACTTTTCTTTTTCTCTTTATGTGTATGTGTGTATGTGTGAATTGCTCTATGAGTATTGTGATACAACTGCTTGGCCTGTCTTGTGTAAACAGAGCGGGAAAAATGAGGGGTGTAAGAAGTAATGCCAAGCACAAACTGAGTTACAGGAAGAGCCCTGTAAACGCTGATATCACTTTCCTTTTGATGGGAAAGTCCCATTTTGTCCTCCTGAAATGAGATGGGGGTTTTTGCACTGAAATCAATGTGAACTTGAGATAAGGCCTGGATTCAAATATATATCTAATTTTCTTACATTCAGAAAAGTTCCTTAGATTTTCTACTGCATTGATAATAAAGAGTTCAATGCAGTTATTGCTATTTTTTTTTAAATACATAGAAGAAGAGGAATAAAAATATGTCAGAGACCTTTGATGCTACATGAATTACCTGTTCACACCAAGTCTCTGTCTACACTTGGAATTAGGGGTATGGTTCCCATCTCCTATAGACATACATGTGTTGGCTCTTATTTGACCTACATTCTACAAATAACCATATTAATGTGGCCAGTAGTAGCATGAGCTAGCTGCCCGAATATGTACCCGTGGGGTTCAGCGAGGCTTGTACTTCAAGTGGCTAGCTCTTCCCACTGCTGCTGCAGCCCCTGGTATTGTGGCAACACTAGTATTTTTAGTATACTAGCTTAGCTGAGAGCTAGCGTAAGTCTATGCAAACTTGGGAGCCACACCACTAGCTCTTAGTGTAGCAGTTGCCTAAGTGAAACAATAATGTAATGCTTAAAGCAGATAAACAGGGGTCATGCGATGTAGGTTCTATTCCCAGCATTACAACAGCCTCCCTGTAGCAGACTTCCAATGAACTATCAGTGCCTCACTTGCCATATCCATAAAATGGGTATCCAATTATACCCACACTTACCATGGGAAAATTAACTAAATGTTTACAAAGTATTTTTAGATATTTGGGAGGGAGGCTTATAAGGCAACATGTTATTTTTCTCCAGGGACTGCCTGACTTTCCAATTACCAAAGTGATTTTTATTATTAATTGATGCTTCTAGATGAACTAGAGACTGAAGTGGCTATCCCTTAAATGCAGCCATTAGTGTGGAGGAATTACGAATTGTTGCACCACTGTTGCGAGATGAAATTAGATCTGGGTCTAACTAAAGACATTAGGATCTAGGTTCTGAATCTGACCATAAACAAACCTTAGCTCCTACCATTTTAGTTTGTGTTCAGGGCCAAGGCTCCTTTGATGGAACACGCGTACCATTCATATCAGAAAAGAATACTGTCATCCAGCCATTCACAAGACACTTAAAAAAAAAAAAAGGATGTACTAAAATTGAATCTTCTTTTGAATATCCCAGTGAGTTACTTGTTGCGTTTCTTATTGTCTGGAAATTTCTCAGGGCAAAGACCAAGTTGTCTTCTGTATCTTGTACAGTTATTTCTGAGCACAGGCATAATACTTAAAACCCAGATGATTTCCCTCACAACGTTTAGAATAAAGCAAAATACTCTCAGGCTCAAGATGTTAATCATAGGGTATGTTCACCACTTGGCATGAATTTGCTACTCACACCTAGACTACCTGGAGCCCTGAGTTTACTGGGGGGCTACACAGTTTACTGAGTTTACTGGGAGGCTACACAGGCAAGTGTATACATTTTTCATTCTTCTGGAATTATCCTACAAGAAAAATGCATCTTCTTGCTTTACTTTTCCAAAGTTTATAAGGAAAATAATTGTGCTGTACCTTTGAAATGGGAGAAACAAAGATACATATAGTCCATATTAAAAACTTCCTACAGACTAATTTTGTTTTTTTCTGGAATCCTAGGCAAGATTAGTGCGACATCAGATCTCATCTGTTAAATGCTACATCTGAGCTGTTGAATAGCCCATTGCTCAGCTTCTCATGAACATTTTTTCAATTCCAAGTTGCTGAGTGAACAAAGCATGAACCGGCCGCTCACTGCTGGGACTTCCTCCAGAGGCGCTTGAGGTCCTAAGAAAAATGAGTCGGATGGTCTCAGGTTGGTCCCTAATAAGCAGCAGCAGTAGATCACTTCAGAAAAAGGAGCCACGCGTAATTTGGCACCGTTGACAGAAGCCTCACCAGGAAGGGCTCAGGGCTTTGCTGGTCTGAGGCAGTGTGCTTTTAAAATCACCTCTTGAACCTAGCCCAGAATATTCCTCCCCGATTGCAAGGACGAAAGCAGTTGTGGGCTAGAGAGAGCTATCCTGATAAATGTGTGAACCCATGCTAGCCATCCTGATAAACTATGGCAGACTATTGTGAGCCACTCTGTCCCAACCATTAACATATGCTCCTTGAGATTTTCAAGGGAACCTCGGGGTACTAACTTTGGGCATCCTGCCTCTTTCTCTTCTCTATGCAGCAAGCCCACCCTAGTGAACCAACAGCCCTGATCAAGTGCAGAGACAGGCTCCATGCATCTCCTCCTGATGGAGCTGGCAGAGAAAATCGGACACTGGGACAAACAACCATAAATCAGGACTGTCCTGATTAAATCAGCCATGGCTGGCAAGTAAGTTATTAAGCCGCCTGTGAAACTAATTGTGATAGTGATATACTCAATTTTGCTGTGTCTTTCAAACACCAGTTGTGATGGGAAACAGCTGTGGGGGGCGAGTGGAGGGGGGAGGAAAGAAAAAAAAAGAAAGAGCTTCAGATTCAGAATCGTAATGTCTGTCTTCTCTATTCCCTTTCACAAAAGCTCTTATATTTTCCTATTCTCCTCTAGACAATTACTCACAGCAGGCGGGGTCAGTCAGGATGAGCTCACTGTTGCATTTAAAGTTCACTTACTAAAGGAGGGGATAAAAAGAAGGTGGGGGGGGGGGGGGGGGGGGGGGGAGTGGAGAAGTGAAAAATCCATGAACAAAATGGCAGGTTAAAAATAGGGTAGTAACTCAGGTGAAAGCAATACATAAATGAATAAATGGCACATGGCATTGGCAGCAGAAAAGCTAGTGTTCTTCAGTATTATTTGACTGTGTGCTCCATTCATAACAGCTCGGGTGAAGGGACAGAAAAGCTTCTGGTGGCTTGATGGCTGGATCATGCAATTGTTATGGGCAGTTTAATGTAGAAAATAGGGAATGTTTTTTAATAAATCTAAAGAAGCCAGGGGCCAATTCTGCTCCAATGGGACTCGGTGGCAAAACTTCCATTTAGTTTATTGTTGGCCACAACTTCTCCTCCTACTTATGCTCCAAGAAAGTCAGTGGAGTTAGCTGAGGTACGCTTATGAACGTGAGAGCAAAATTTGGCCCAGTGGATCCTGTCCGTGCCAGGATTGTTGTTTAGTCAAATCTGAGGGAATGTCAATATAAGCAGTTAGTGCCTGGCAAGCTGAGGTGTAAATCTTCAGTGCTCTAGACGGCCATCCACTAACTGAAAGTTCCCTAATGAGCTTTGATCTACCCTGCTTTGAAATGGGAGTAGATCGAAGTGTACTATGGGAACTGCTAGTCAACAGTAGCAGTTCCTATAGCCCGCTAGTCTGGCAAGTTATCATGAGAGATTTACACCCCGCTTTCCCATACACTAACTGTTCATATGGATAAGCCCCAAGTAAAAATTTAAAAGGGATGTAGCTTATCATGGGTCAGGGCATCATCTAACCATTAAGTGCCTGCCCCTATAGGCAGTTTATTTCAAAGTGATTTTTTTGCCTGGCTCTGAAATTTCTGTGATTTGTCACGTTTTGAGAGAGGATACTATAACTTACTGACCTGTGGACTGATCAAATATGGCAATTCTGTGTTCCTAAATTCACTTCTATTTTTCTTTTAGCCTTGTATTTCTCTGCCTTTCTGTTGGTGGTTTAAAAAAGCTATAAACGTGTAGAGAAAATAAAATGCATTAGCTAATAGCAATGCAATGTTAAGCAGTTCAACTAGTTTGAAAGAGAATGAGAAGAAACACCAGATCTCTGAGGTTTCAAAAATCAAACCCCAGCCACTCAACCTCACCCATAATATTTCTGGCTTCCTGTTTGTAAACCAGAAATGTTTATTTTCAGTGTCTTACGTGGCATTTTTTCAATGTAGGAGGCTTATGTCATTACCTAATGGATCATAAATGATGTTGGTCATCCTAGATAAACAGAAAGTAATAGAAGAGTTTTTGGTTTTAGTTTGTGTTTTGTGGTGGGAGTCAGAGTTGTCTGGAGTCGGGAGAGCAAATCATCAACCTTTTAGTAATTTCCATTCCAGTGTGCCCAGAGTCTAACAGGACTTTATGACTGATGTTAAAAACCTTATTCTTGTTGTTGTTTCTTAACAATGCCAAATGCTGCTGCTCAATTCTGCATACCAACCATTTATTACAAGAGAGTCAGATGTTGCTTTTTCTGAGCAGAAAGGTGAGAGTGCAATATAAAATACATGAGCTCACAATGCGAGCATTTATTGTTCACCATCAATGGTCAAATCTAGCAGGCGTCTCTTCTGATTTTATTTTCAGTTTAAATTTCACATTCATAGGAAGTTAAACTTCCTCCAGATAAGATGACCTGAAAGCAGATGGGTATCAAACCCTGTGAGTTTCAACTGTAACCCTGCTAGGTTGGCTGGGTCCAAGGTTAATATAGTGCTTCAGTGAGTTTTCTGATCTGAACTGCAGCAAGTGTGGGGGCGTGCAAGTGTAGGAGTGCAATTTTCCACAGTTTTGAGATGCATGGTTGCCCATTCCAGCCCCCTCTCCTGTAGCTAAAACGGAAGCCAACAAAGTGTGTATAATGTGCATAGAAGGTGCAATCCTTATTCCTTGACCTGAAATAAGCTCTGGTGAGCAAAGAGAATGGGAAGGCATTGAGTACTGTTGTACTCCCCTGCCCTCTTCTATCAAGGGGCTCATTTGCCATCAGAATAAATTGCCCTGTGTTCTCTGAAAATCAGGGAGGAGATAGAAAACAGCTATTAAGCCAAAATACTGGGTGAAATTCTGCTCCTGCTTGCACCAGAATAAATCAGGAGTAACTCCACTGAAGTTGGAGGTGGAGCTGTTATTCTTGAAGCAGATCAAATCAATTTTCTAGCTCTAAAAATAGGGGAAGAAGTAAACCTGCCATTTATATAAAACCGTATAGTGTATTTATCATGAAACCCTTGTATACTGCATATAAAAGAACATCATGAATGTCAGGCTTACTGAATGTTCTCTTAACTGATCATCTTCAGTAATAGGAAGAAGATTTTATATAATTTCATTTGGCAGATACTTGTGTTACTCAGAATAATGAAAAATTAGATAGGTGCAAAATAAATGTCCTCTTACCCTAAATCTATTAATACAAACATTCACCTTCCTGATTAAAGCTCCTTCGGAAAGCAACTACTGCACTGTCTCCAGCACATTTCAGTAGGGGGACTCAAAAGCACCATCAGGACAGTATATGACATTTAGGGTAACTTTCTGAATTGCCTCGAATTGATGGCCTAGGTCAGTCACTGGTGTAATTCCACTGACGTCAGTAAAGTTGCATCATTGATATATATGGCCCAGTAAGCACATGAGTATCTAAGCAGGAGCTATAGGACCTTGTGTCAAATTTTAGTGCTGCCACGGATCATTTGCTATGATAAATTTGCGTTAGCAGGCAGCAGGATGTCAAACAGCCCCTGATATAATTTTCAGATAAACACATCCTTTTAGAGAAAACTGCATACGCAAAAGCGTTTACTTTCTTCTGTTAAGAAATATGCAACCATCACAAATAATATTGCTAACCAAAGCTTCCGGTAGTATGCATGGTCAGATTCCCCACATCTTTCATACTGTAGGTGAGTGATGAAAAAGTGTTGTGAGTTTTAAGGCAATGAGTCAGCAAGGTACTTAAGCAGGAACCTAACTTCAGTGGGACTGCTTCTGTACTTAATGATAGTCATGTACTTATGTATGTTGCTGAATCAGGCACTAAGCTGTAAAGATATTTCTTGTATGAGGTGTGAAAGATTAATGCTCCTATTTGGCATGTAAATTACAGGCATCTTTTAGATTCACATCTCTGCAGACGGAAATCACAAGTAAATCTAATTTGAATCAGAAGGGTTGTTTTAGTGCAACAGTGGAATATATAAAACTTTTTGGAGTTGTATTATTGTTCTTGTAGTTACTATAGTTTTAGAAGTTGTATTTATTGATTTTTTTTGTTTCCCTTGTGCTTAGAAGAAAATATATTGATAATTATACTGCATATTCTGTATGAGTGTTCAGACTGCAGCATGGCTAGAGAAGCTGTTAGAAATGTACACTAGATAAAACCATTTCTCTACACTGAACCTGTCAACTTTAACTGTCTCTGTTAGGTTAAAATCTAAAACCCCAATACCTCAATTAGATACAGACTCAGCTCTCATTGCTGGATCCATGCTTATAAATTACTTATTGGTGGGTAAGAAAATCATTTACTTGTATGGTGACTAAATCAAATACATTAGAATTTAATGTTATGATTAACAAAAATGAAATGAATTGTTTTCCTGCTCATTGACATTTGAATAAACATTTATGAATGTGTAAGTGAAGGAACCAGTGTTAATACTGAAAGCGGACATGGTCTTTGTTATGTCAAGGATAGGCATAGGGCAGTCAGTCAGATTGCTGCAGGGTGAATCGAGCCATGTTGGTCCTATAGTTGACTTCAGCCATGTGTCACAAACAGGAACGGCCCAAGGCTGGCTGCGGCAGCTGGCGCCCCAAGCAGAACACATGATCGGCGCCCCTGCCTGCAGGGTTGTCAATGGACTGACGTCATCGGCGGGCGCCCCGGGTGCCCCCGTGATGTCATCATCAGGCGTCCCGGGCGGCGGCGCCCTGGGCGGCGGCCGAATCTGCCTATAGCCACGGGCCGCCCCTGGTCACAAAGACACTAATCTTTGGGTAGCACATATTGTTTGGTATTGGACACAGATGGATATAGTTTGTGAATTATAATGTACATTTCTAAAGGCTTCTGCTGTACACATAATACATTTAATAATAAAAAACCACAAATCACTGATATTGATGTTCAGATGCTTAAGAACATAAGAACGGCCATACTGGGTCAGACCAAAGGTACATCTAGCCCAGTATCCTGACTGCCAACAGTGGCCAGATGCCTCAGAGGGAAGGATCACAATAGGTAATCCTCACATGGTCCCTCCCCTGTCACCCATCTCCAGAGAAACAGAGGCTAGGGACACCATTCCTACCTATTCTGGCTAATAGCCATTGATGGACCTAACCTCCATGAATCTATCTAGCTCTTTTTTGAACCCTGTTAAAGTTCTAGCCTTCACTGCATCCTCTGGCAAGGAGTTCCACAGGTTGACTGTGCACTGAGTGAAGAAAAACTTCCTTTTGTTTGTTTTAAACCTGCTGCCTGTTTATCTCATTTGGTGACCCCTAGTTCTTTTATTGTGGGAATAAGTAAATAACTTTTCCTTATTCACTTTTTCCATACCAGTCATGATTTTATAGACCTCTATATGTTTATAGTAGGAGTGGGTCAACCAGAAAAGTTGCAGACTTTTGGCTTACGTATTTATCCTAAGCATATTGAAGCATATCTTTCCAGTCTGAAAACAGATGAGAACTTTATGTGGTTAGGCTTGCTCCTGAGATTTCCCATACCTTCTTGTTTCAACAGGGATAAATGCAGTGTAAGAGCAGACTCCTTTATATTAAGACTATAAGGCGTCTCTGCTATCAGTCGCTCCGGTACACATCCGTTATGCATTAAAGTTGTTGATGCTTGTAGGAACTGATGCATTATAAGTTCTCCCATTCCCCACTCTTAAGTCATGCAAAAAATAAAAAAACAAAACAAAACAACCCAACAAACAAACAAAACCAGTTTGCACAAATGGAAGTCAGACATGGGAAAAAAATTCCCCACTTTAAGTTGTTTCGCTATAAGTCCAAGTTTTTTGGAATGTATCTTGGACTTACAGGAAGGATGGCCTATATAGCACATTTACCAGGCATTGCTTGGGTCCTTAAAGAGGGGTTTGGGGCAGGGGCCTGGAGACATTGGGTGCAGGAGTCAGGGTTGAGGGTAAGGAGCGGTTCTGGAATGGGTATGTGTGTGTGTAAGGGGGATGGGAGGGAAGCATGGGAGGGAACCTCTCAAGATTCATAACAGGGCTTCTCTTCCTGTCAGCAAAGCGCACAGCTCATCTGCTCCCTGCACTCTCCAGCCAGAGTGAGGAATGCAGTAAACCAAACATTTTCTACTCACTCCCTGATGAATGGCCAGCAGTGTCCCTGTACAAGTCTGGGTGTGAGTTGGGGGGGATCTCCAGCTCCCCCACACCCTCTCTGAAGGTTGCATGAGAGATGGGAGGTTTGGGGCTGGGGCAGTTCTGGATGTGGGGGAGGCGATGCCTCCAGCAAGCCTCTTTCACATGCCTGGTGATTCTGTCTCTTTTCTGTATGGTTTTATGAGAACTCATCCTATTCCAGACATCCCATTTTCTTGGCACAACAAACCCTTACGTTGCTTTAAGGTATAAGAGGAAGCTATATACTGCATTTGGTGGTCCTAGTGCTTACCGTTCTTGAACAAACAGACAAACTGTCTTAACTATCTAGTAGATTTTGCATCTAACTGAAATCAGGAAGCACAAGAATACATGCACACACTGCACCTCTAACCAACTTTGTGTGGTGGTTTTACTTGTATGTCATCTGACTAATGCAAAGTTTGCCCAAGGCATCCCTCATTTTGTTGCAAAAGGACAAGTCCTACCCCACTGTCTGTTGGTGTGGATGCCGTGGAGTTGATCTATCTGTATTAGAAAGAGGGGGAGTGTGGAAGCTATGAGAGGGATTGTGATGTGGTTTAGAAACCCTGCGCTACATGTGAAGAGGTAAATGAGAGACAGTGGACACCATTTACCCCACTCCTGGCTTCTGCAAGAGGGGGTCAAGCCTGGAAGGAGAGGTCAAAAGAGGGAAAGCCCAGCTCAGTAGGGCCTCGTGTGCTAGACCACTGAAAAAAGCATGGCTGTGGCCAGAGTCTACCCCAAGACTGTTTAAAGCAGGGTGTGGTCAACCTGTGGCTCTGGAGCCTCCTGTGGCTCTTCTGAAGTTAATATGTGGCTCCTTGCTCAGGCACTGACTCCAGGGCTGCAGCTACAGGTGCCAGCTTGCCAGTGCTCAACTCTTGGCTCCACCTCCTCCTCCAAGCATATTGCGCCCTCGCTCCTTCCCTCCCCCACAGAGCCTCCTGAGTGTCATGAAACAGCTGATTGCAGTGGGCAGGAGGTGTGGGGAAGGAAGAGGAGGTGCTGATCTATGGGGCTGGTGGTGGGTGAAATATGCTGGAGATGGGAGAGGAGGCACGTGATGAGGGCTGCTGACAAATTACTGTAGCTCTTTGGCAATGTACATTGGTAAACTGTGGCTCCTTCTCAGGCTCAGGTTGGCCTCGCCTGGTTTAAAGGAAGGCCTGACTGGGGATGGAAGGTGATCAAGGACTGCTCAACATCCGAACCTCCCTAGGGCAGATAGACCCGGCAAGCAACTGGTATATGTACTTTGTTCCCCAGGGCTATGGGTTTTTTTCCTTTTGAGGCCTGTGAAGGAATGTGCCCAAGGTGAGGCCGGCAGAAGTGCTTAGAGGCAGGCCTTGGTAGGAATCGGCCTGGGAGGGATCAGCAGGTCTGAATAGCGATGCTGTAGCTGTTTGTTATAGCTTCTCTGGGCTAGGACCCAGAGAAGAGGGAGGGCGTGGGTTCCCCTGTTGACTCTCTGACAAAGCTAGTATGGTGACCTTGGAGAGAAGAACCAGAAAAGCCTTAAGCCTATAGTTGGCCTGAAGATTCTGGGTGGCTTAAACATATAGGACTTAACTTACCCATGTAACCCTTCTGGAGTGCTAAGTCCCAAGAAGAAGGAAACTAGCTCAGTCCTGGAGCAAGTCTCATCCGGGACAGAGAAAAGAAAAGACACTCTGCCAGACCCAGCCACAAGCAGGGGTGTCAGTGGTGAGCCCACTTGGCCAAGGACATATGTTCTCTTTTCTTTGAAGAGCTCAGTTTTGCAGTGGCTTTCATGCACAAGGAAAATGGAGGTGGGCTAGGCTGGAAAGAATGGATGGCTGGGCCACTGAATCCTTGGGGTTACACTAGCCATTGCTCTCTGGCAGAGCGTGGCTGTATGAACTACTATAGCTGTATAGCTGCAGCAGAACACTTTGAAGGAAATTCCACCTTCTCTGTAACCCTCCTGTCCCTCCCCACCCAATGGTCATGAAATATTCCAGTGGTCACCCATCAGCATAGGCTGTGTCAAGGTGGGGAAAAAATGCCAGTCTCTTACTGACTAGCTGGAGAGCTCCTTTGTACTCACATTCTCTGAAGAATGGCTCTGTCATTTAAAATGGTTATACAGAACGTGAACTAGATCAGGAGGTATTTTCAAGCCAAAAAAGCGGATGAACAATTAAATGGCTAGCTATGGCTGCTTAAAATGTGGCTTCTTAGGATGTGCACATTAATAGTACGACTGCAGTTTCATCAGGATCTTTTAGGCACACAGATGTAGTACACATGCATGGTAGCTGGACTGACAAGACAGACCATGATGGCTGCAAAGGGTCAATAAAACATACACCATGAAGGATTTACACAATAGACAGTAATGACTTCTTTGGAGCTGTTACGGTCTATTGGGTCAATAATAATCCACTTTTTAAAGAGTGCCAAAATATGAATGTACACAACAGGTCATAATGGCCCCTGATCTATCAGATAAATGATATGAATGATCAACATTAGAGCCCAAACTGCAATGCACATTTAACTATTACCCTGGATAGGGTAAATAATGCCAGCTTAAAATATATACTCATTTTCAAAGGACAGATTTCTAAAAAGATATTAAGAGGCTGTATTTTGTTATTAACGTGTTATTGTGAGTTTATTTTTCAATATTATTAGATAAGCAGTTATCAGCCCGTACTATGTATTTTTTAGCTTTTTGTTTGTTAATTTTGCCAATGTAGTTCTCAGGTCCACAAAACTTTTTCTCAAATTCGTAGCCTTTATCATCCAATTATGTCTGTTGACTTCAATAAGATTACTCAGGTGAGTAAAGACTACTCACATGAATAGTGATTTTGAGAATATGGTGCTCAACTTGTCTTGATGGGCAAATAATTATTCAAGACTAAAAATCTTTTAAAATAATGTGTTCTGTGTAGATTCAGCTATCTGTTTGCATAGAGAAAAAGGAAAAAAATATTGCAACTATACAAATGAGAGAGAAACACTGAAAATGCGTAATTTATACCAACAGGTGGTGACATACAGCAGCAAGCGCCAATGGTAACATCACTTTCCAGCAAGCAATTAGAAAATCCAAGGTACATTAAAATGAAAGAGGCATTAAAGAGGGAAGGGGGAAATAATGAAAAGTGTCCATCAATATTACGTATGTTATGCTTTTGTCTAATCCCAAGGTAGAAAGAGTAAATAAATGCAAACCATTACAAATAAAAGTTTTCCTTGCTTCTCTGCTGAATTTATTTTAGCAAAAATTGAAGATTTGGCTTAGCTGGGTACCTTTAAATTAAAAAAAAAATCATGTTAATAATAACATGAATGGAAAGCTGTGAGAAAACTCTTATACAAGAGTTGTAATCATATATATAGTAGCCCAATGTCTGTGACTCTGTAACGCTAAAACGCTGGCTGTTCCCTCTGGGCGGCGCTGTTGCCGAGGCGCTCGGCTGACTTCTGTGCCACTCAGCTGGACTGCCATGTGGGAGCAAGTGGTGCAAGAGGACTTTTGGGGTCTGCGCTCCCCATGCAGCACAGAGGTGCTGCATGGGGAGCGCGGGGCCCAAACAGCCACTTGAGCTGCTTGCTTCTGCGCCGCGGCCCAGCTGAGCGGCGCAAAAATCAGCTGAGCACCATGGCGGGCGGG